AACCGGCAACCTTCCGATTACAAGACGAACACCCAACTCTTGAGCCACGATCGCCCTGGTCTGACCTCAAACCCAACTAACTGGATGAATTTTTGTGCCGGGCATCGTAATGGGCTGAGCTCACTGACGCCGCTGACTGACCCTCCCAAGAAAGACTGCTACAGTAGCAAATGAAAACTCAGAAGAAAAACATACACGCCACGATACAGACGCATAGAAGTTGCTTTCTCTCATGCGTGAGCTTCAGTCTGCAATCATCGCGTACTTGACGATAATATTTATATCCATCGACTGCACTTCGCCCTTAGATGTTTTTTTTACCACTGCACTCTGAGAGTCACACCAGGAAGATGGCTTTAGAGCTCACTGCGACTTTTCTGTCACTCTGCACCGTGTAGTATACTGTATATGTACACTTCAGTGCAGTGCATCTCTAATGAAGTGCAGACAAACCTGCAGGCCCAGGAGTGCTTTATTCAAGAGGTATTGCATTTAAAATATAGCTCTTTAAAAAGGCCTGTTGAACATGTTCGTCTATTCAGATGAAATGAGGCTGGTTTCAACATCCGACCATCTGATATCCTTGCCAGATTTTTACTTTTATTTAGTCCACCACATCTATCCCTGCACAAACGATACACAGTGGGTAAAATAAGTCTAATTCTCTAAGTAAATATATTTCTTAAAGGTGCGAGTATCGTGAAATTTTCACTAGATGTCGGCGACAACGCTCCAATCCACACGTGCAAAGACACGAAACCATAGATGTTTATATAATATGAATATTTCTCATGAATAATGAGAAAGGGGGGAAAAAATACTGAACACACGAAGAAAGGGAAGTGCAAAAAAGCCTGGAAAGTCATGACATGGGCGAAATCTATCAGTAATTAGAAAGCAATCCTGACACTTAGTGCAAATAATCAGCCCGGCCAATCATCTGACCTGAATCCATCGGAAAATCTAGAAAGGACCAAAACTCAGTTTCGCATTATTACATGTAGCTTAATTTATGGACATCTCTGTGCACGTGTGGATTGGCTGGCTCGTTGCTGATATCTGATGGGAATTTAATGTCGAGAGCATCTTTAGAAATATATTTACTTTGAAAACTGGCGACACGTTCAATGCTTATTTTGCCTGGCTAATAATTTGAAATAAATTGTAAATTTTGGATGTGTGTAAGACAGTCCCACTACAGTTTTGAGCATTTAATTGGTTGTTAATTCAGAATCCGGGGCTGTACTGTGTATATTCTGAATATAGAAATAATCTACACTCCAGATAACAACACTTTGATGTCAATCTTACTGGTCCCTGTTAAGAGCAGGCTAGCATTGACGTTAGCTGATCCTGAACACCCAGAGAGGGATGTTACGTGTAGTTTTACACATTTTTATGCACAGAAAAGTTTTTGAAGGAGAAAATATCCGATTCGTAAAGCTGGACTTAAATAATTAAGCGTAAATAATCACTATTTATGAATGCATTTGATCAAATTGCTTTGTTTAGACTGTGAGTTATACACAAATCACTGCACATATTTGTGAATCTTAGTTTATATGCTTGCGGATCATATTGTATGCATTCATAACACCTTTGAGCAAATTTCTCTCCATATTTAATGAGCTAAAGGTGAAGTTATCTTAAAGATTAACAGCAGCTGTGTGTGACAGACACTGGAAACAGTCACTCCTTATTCTGCATATAGTAACTCGGTAGCACAACGGCTGAAAAACTATGTTTTCAACCTCATTTGCACTTCAGTTACCACGGAAACAGTAACATCTAATTAAGCTGTAAACACACAAACGCGCAGCGGTGTGAGGATTACACATCATTATTACATCGCCACTACCACGTGACGTTAATCCTCATGCCTTTACTATCCCGGCACAGAAAAGTCAGAAAATACTCACTGATGGTCACATGACTATTGCTCAGAAGTCTCTCGAGAGACGACGAGAAACTGCAACTTCCAGCTCGTAAAAAAATATCAAGACCTTCAAATTCCCACTAATACTTGTAACTATGGTAAGAACTAAAAATACAGTCTTGGAAC